TTTCCTGGTGAAAAGGTGAAGCCTCAGCAAACCAGGTGCTGTGAGCTGTTTCTGTAGATGGAGAACTATCAACTTGTTGATCTCCTTTGAAAATAGCACCTCTTGGCTCTTTAATTTGCCTTGCTGGGAGGGGAAAAAGGAGTGTGTGAGGTTAACATGCCTGAAATAGTTTAGTGAGCTCAAAGAGAATCGCAAGAGATTCACACCCTCTGAGCAGTTCCATGGTGTAATATTCAGCTTGACTAAAACCCACCTGCTCTATGTAGGATGGATTCCCCAGTGTGGTGGGTTGTCTTCTCCTTTTTGAAGTTGCTGGTACCAAGTTTTGCTTGAGGTATTCTCACATTCCTGCACGTGGCTCGACCTTTGAAGACAGGGACATGGAGACTAAGGAAAAAGACTGGCACTCTTTGCTTTGTGACAGTGCCAGTTCAGTTACTTGTGTTGTATAGGGGTGGGTAGTTTTCAGTCTTAGCTAATGATGGAGCATTACTGTGTCTTGTTTTGCCATTCTTAACATAGTAGATAGAGCTGTCTCTGTGGTGTTACATGGGTGTATCTGAAATCTAGGCTTTGTTCCAGGCTTCTGAAATGAATTTGGGCAAATCCATTTATGTCTTTTCTGTGTCTCAGTCCACTATCTGCAAAATGAGAGTGATTAACATTCCTAACTCTTAGGGGGATCTTAAGCATTTATCTGTAGAGTGTGGCACATTGAGGTTCTACAACTTCAAAGAGCCTGAAAAATAACCCACAGCAAAATAAACTTGGCAGAATATGTAAAGGTAAATCCTATTCACTGTTGCTGTCACTGGTAGCAGCTATTAGCAATTGCTACTTTATTTCACTGAAATCAAGGCCTTGCATTAAGTTCCCATTAATAGGGTAGATTCTTCCTGTTGTCTGTTCTTTCAGAGCAGAGAGAAAAATCACTGTTTAATGTATGGCTGTTCTTCGTGTGCACTTTCTTTTGGGCCTGGACTCAGGACCACCTTTCAAGTAGTGGAAGATGGCAAGCTCTGCCCTTCGGGTGGTTAAATCAAGGTGATACATGCCTCTTGAGGTGTGGGTTGCACTCAGTCTCACTCCCAAAAGAAAGTAAGCCAGTAAATTGTACTCTCTAATCTGTGCTGTAGTTGAGCTGGTTTCTTCTCTGTGCTCCTAGGCGGAGGCTAAGGCACAGCACACCGGGGCTGAGCAGCAAGCCAGCAACACCACAGCACCTTGTGAGCTGGCTGATGCTGTCTGGTTTGCTCTGTCCTGCATTTGTAGGAAGCAGCCTTCTTTTGGCAGGGTGCAGAGAAATGCAAATGGCTCAGCTTTACAGAGTTGACATTTGCTCTCGATTTCCCTCAGGTTGAGTAGCTCCACTGAGCAAAGTACTTCATCCCGGCTCATTCGGAAGCATAAACGCAGGAGGAGGAAACAAAGGATGCGGCAGATTGACAGGGTAAGGTTGGCATCATCGTTTTCCAAGGAGGTGAACTGTGCTGTTTGAGTGTAGCATGTGAATTAGGAAGGGACCCAGAAGAGGTCTGTGCCCTGTTGAATTCATTGGAGATGCTTCCTTTGGCTCCAGTCTATCCTGGGTTAAATCTGTAACGTTTGAAGCTCTGCAGCACTAGAGGCAAGACTCGTTTCTCCTCTCCCTTTCTCCTTTTCCTGTTACGTGGTCACGTTTCTTGTCTCTTCCAAGACCAGCCTCTGCAGGAGAACCTCCATTATGCTACTGGCTGATGTGGGCAGGGGGTGTCTGTGGTCTTAAATGTATAAATTGCTGAGATTTGCACTCTGCTGGAAGGAGAAATACGTTTGTAGGAAATCACGAATCTCTGTTCTTGCCCTTTCCTGTGGCAGCAGAATGAGGATGGTCCAAATGACATACTTGAAGTAACTGTTTTGTTCTCCTATAAATATCAGTGTTTACAGATGAAAGAATGAGTATATATACATTTTATCACAAGAACTGATTTAAGGTATTTGATAAGCACATTTATACTTCATATTGGAGGGAGGGAGTGTCTGTCTTCTCACTGCCTGAAGGATCATGTGTTGCTCTCCTCTTTTCAGGGAGGAACTGTGGATGTAGTAATTCACACTGGGCACTTAGGTATTGAAATGTCTGCCTGTCAGTAATGGAGTGAGGAAACAGAAATGATGCAATGGGAAGTGCAGTTGAGAAACCTCAATGTAGGAATTTGCTCTCTGTATTTTTAAACAAATCTTTGGAGAAAGTGTAGACTGTTCTGATTTTTTTTCCTTACAGATTCTCAGTGAAGAACAATGGTTTCTGGATACCTTCCAGATGGAAGCCTAGAAATCAGTTCCCACTGAATTAATCCTCAGTAGCTGATTTTATTGTCTTTATTTTGAGCCATTTAAAACCTTGAGAATTTTTGTTGTATTTTGCAGTCGTCTTCGTTCAGCAGCATCACTGATTCCACCATGTCCCTAAACATCATCACTGTCACCCTCAACATGGGTAAGAGGATAAGCAATGTTTTTTTCATGATGAATTTCAAGTGACACAGATGTGTTTTGTTATGTAGTGGCCTTTGGAGCCAGTAGAAAGCTCCTTGATTTGAAAGGATGCCAAGTGAACTAAAGGGAATGGCAGCTGAGAGTTGTGACTGGATTCCCAGTCCAGTACCGGATAGCTCTGAGCTATCTGCACAAGCAGATTAATACTCTTCCCAAGAAGCACAGGGAAGGAGCTGGAGCTCCAGGACATGGAGCTCTGCTCTTGTTTCTAGGAAGGGTAAAGTGTCAGGCATTCAGGAGCAAGGTCTGCATTTCTGCTGCTCACACATTTCATTGTTTAGCCAGATAGAAATGTGCAGAGCTGCCAACTCAGCACCTTTCAATAGCACCAAATCCTTCCAGCCGCTCTGACGTGTGGAAAAATCGTTGCCTAATCTGATGGGGTGCCTAATTTCTAGGTGTAGACATGTCTTTTCAATGTCATTTCTCTTGCTGACTTTCTGAATGTAACTTTTCAGTGTCTTGCATGGAAAAGTAATGTCTTTAGCATTGTTTTCCTGCTGCCTTTCCCTCAGCATGCCAGCAGACATATGCCAATAGGGCAACCGAAGTGTAAGTCAAACAGGGCCTGGCTGATGTGTTGAGAGAACTGACTTTTCAAAACTGAAGTAGCCTGGTGGTAGCTCTTCACTATCAATCACTTTGTTTGCTTTTTTCCCCCCCCTCCCCTCCACTTTCTGTCTCTACAGAAAAGTACAACTTCCTGGGAATCAGCATTGTAGGACAGAGCAATGACCGGGGTGATGGTGGCATATACATCGGCTCTATTATGAAAGGAGGAGCTGTGGCAGCAGATGGCCGAATTGAACCAGGAGACATGCTTCTGCAGGTTGGTCCATGGCCAAACATACGTGCTGAGGGCTCATGCACTGGTGGCTCAGCTCAGTCACCCCACCAGATCCATGGGTTTAGGGTTCAGTTAGCAGAATTCATTCATACTCAGAGAAATGTGGCACAGAGACTGTTATCACGTAACTCTGTAATTGTGAACTCCTTGATGTGCTCTGAGAAGCAGCATTTCTGCAGCTGCTCAGAGGAATGGGAACAGTTATAAAGCAGGTAACGCTGGAAGCAAATAATGGAAGTGTCTTTCACTTTGTGACCTCTGCTTTCTGCAACATTGCAGGTGAATGATGTCAACTTTGAGAACATGAGCAACGATGATGCAGTTCGGGTGTTACGGGAAATAGTCTCCAAACCAGGGTGAGAATCTTCCCAAATCTCTTGTTGCTTCTCCTCCATCTGCAGTTGTTGGTGCCGGGCAAACCTCAGAGAAAGCAACATTTTGAGCTCAATAAGCAACCAGCTTATCTCAACTTGGAACTTCTGGGTGTAAATGATGAATAGGTGAGACTGGTTCCAATGTGCCAGCCAAAACCACCACAAACTAGGAGCTGCCTGGTTTCAGTAGCACTATTTGTTTATGTGATGAGTGTTTTAATAACTCAAGAGCTCATCATTTGACCAGATTTCAGCAATAGCGCTCACGATCTGTTCAAAACCAGCAACATCCTGATACCTGTTCATACTGAAAATACTTGGACAAGCATCTCAAAAGCAGTCTGAGAATGTACTTGGCAACTGTTGGAATAAGTGTGTTTTAGAGAGCTCATTGTAGCAGTTACAACCTCTGTAGGGAGAGTTGAGAGTCACCCTTGTTTTCTTTCTTCCTAGACCTATCAGCCTAACAGTAGCCAAATGCTGGGACCCTACTCCCAGGAGTTATTTCACCATCCCCAGGGGTGAGTACATACTTGTGCTCTTTGCTGGGTTCCTGTGGAGCCCTCAAGGTCCAGAGTATTTTCAGCTATTTTGGCCTCAT